TTGAAGGACCCTCCTGGTGATGAACAATTACAACACTTGAGATTGTATAGCTTGGAAAAAAGACAAGTCATGAAGACATGATAGAGGCATACAGAATTATGCATAGTATGCAGAAAGAGAGAGATTTTCTCCCTCTCCCATGGTACTAGAACCTGGGGCTCTCTCGCAAAACTGATTATCAGATAAAAGGAAGTACTTCTTCACACAGTGCATAATTAAGCTTTGGAATTCACTTCCACAAGATGCAATGATGGATAAGAGGACTCAGGCTTACCTGGTCCAAATCAAAGAACATGTGGGTTTTGTTTTTGCTTTTAAATCACTGCTTGTTTTAACTGGATTTTTGTTTTGATTTATAGATGTGATTTTATTTTATTGTTTTTAATGGTCTAAGGTAGGATCATTAAGTTACACAGACTTCCATGTGTACATTAATATGTACTCCCCATTGAATTCAATAGCTCTTACTTCTGAGTAGACATGCACAGCTGTTTTGAGGGTATTCCTTATGATGAACATGTTAGGGCATGCTAGGAGTTATAGAACTTTTTCTGCCTAAACATGCATAGCATTATACCCTTGTTATTTTCCCCTTCTCATTTGATATATGCATTTTTATTTTATTTTATTTTGTCGTTGTTGTTATATTACATGAAAAGCCTCCTTTCTTCCTCTTGCAGGGAACCCAAGACAGCTTAACAAGGCTGTCCTCTCCATTTTGTCCTTGCAACAACAACCTGGTGAGGTAGGTTAGGCTGAGCGCAAGTTACTGGGCCAAAGTCACCCAGTGAGCTTCATAGCTGATTGGGGACTAGAACCTGGGTCTCCTCAGTCGTAGTCCACCATGCCACACTGGAATGCATGTAGAGAATGAATCTTTTTAAATGTTCTGGGTTGTTGTTTTTTGAGTAAACAGAATAACTCTAAAACTGTAATGTAGACTCTGGATTTAATCATCTTAGGACTGCCTTCTTTGCATGGTGATATTAATTACTTCACTTTTTTCAGAATGTAGTAAGTTCACCCTACAGCATTCTGCTGGATGGGGCCTTTGAATGTTTTTTGCACCTAAATCCTACTCTGATGGTTCCACTGTGCGCACTCTTGAATTTTTCCACTGACTAGGGAATTTGGTATTCTGCACTATTTTCAGTTACTGGAAGCAGTTTGTGGAAGGGCCCTAAATGTAGCAGAATGTCCCTGGATCAGCTCCCAGCATCCTCATCTAAAAGTCAGCTCAGTCTGGACTGGGGCCGGGGAGTAGATTGTGAGCCTCCAGGTGTTAAACTATCTCCCATCAGCCCCACTCATCATAGCCAATCATTATGGGCACTGTAGCCAAACAACATCTGGAGGGATACCCAACTTCCCCACTCCTAGAATAGACAATGGGGAGATGGACCCCATATTGTGATGCTGTAAGGTAGAAGCTAAAGAGGAATCTTTGCAACTCCTTTACAAATCCTTTTTACCATGGGACACCTGTCTTTTCAACAATATTGGCCTTGCACTAAAAAGAACTTGGGATGGTACCAGAGAGAAAAGGTGGCCAAAACATGAGGTCTAGAACCCAATGAAAAGTAAACTTTATTCAGTCTGAGGTAGTTTTGGTTCAAAGTATAAAGTATGAGGAGACAATATCTCCAGTTTCAGCTTAAAATACTATGTTTGCATTAACATCTAAATAATAATTATTAATAACAATAACAATGACACAGTTTCAGCTTGTAGAAGTTTTACTCTAGCGCTAGGCTAATATTTGTGGGACCAAGGAAGCTTGTACCATCTGCCCCAGGTTTCCCCACATTTATAGGAAGAGGTCTTGATCTACAGGGGAATAATAAATATAGGGGAAACTGTTAGCATAGTTCAACATGATTAGATGTTGATCAGGATTCGTTCTGCACAAACAAAGCATTGAACACATCAAAACCAAATCTGCTCAATGGCTTGGAGTCAGACTGAGTTATACTTACAGAAGGCCCACTGAAATAAATGGGGTTTAAGTTAGTCTAATCTATATGTGACTTGGGTTGCAATCTGATAGACACTTATGTGGAAGTAAGTCCTATTGAACTTTAATGGGGTTTATTTCTGAGTAAATATACATAGGATTAAACTATTGGGTGGGTTTTTTTAAAGTAAATTGGCACTGGCTTAGAAGTAACTTCTGTAGGTTTTTATCTGTCTTCCAGGGTGGTTTGTAGCAACCTTGCCCCAGTGCTGCATTTCTTAAAGCAGAGAAATTGAGTTTTTTTGTCTGCATGGAGACTTTGCAGTAGAAGTTTGCCTAATCCCTGTTGACTGTGTGCTTTACAAATGGATAGATTTGTAAAGCATTTGGAGTCAAAAGATGTAACCCAAGATGTTTATGTGGTATCCTATTAGTCATTAGCCCAGAGGGCAGTAGGGTAGACATTAAAGCCAAGATAACAAAAAAAAATATTTTGGCACAAATTTACCATACAATCATATTCTTGTCTACTAAAAGTGAATTCACCTGGGCTTACTCCCAGGTAAGTGAGCATAGGATTGCAGCCTAGGTATAGTAAAAACTCTCATGGACTCCCATGCATTATCCAGACATGTTTACTGGGCAGTAAATCTTATTAAATTCTATAGAACTTGCTTCCTAGGGACTCACCCTGTTCCGTGGGCTTCATACACTGGTAGGTGTGCATGCACATGGGATTGTAGCCATACAGACAAACCTAAGCTCACTGATGTTGAAGTATGTCCCACTGAATAGAATAAGACTTATTGAGTAGGGCTTACTTCAGAGTCAACATGAAAAGAATTGGGATGCTATTAGGGGAGCAAGGAGGATGCTATTCATCACTTTGCTCCTCTCCATAGTATGAAGTCGCTTGCAGGGATCCCCATTTTGAATGATCAAATGTGAATCTCTTTGCATCTGGAGATCACAGAGTCGGTGCTCCGGTGCAATGCCAGTTCGTTGCAATACATATGTGGACGGAAGCAGGCGTGCCACTGGCTGTCGCAGGGTAGTTAGCTGTCTCTGCACTGATTGGCTACCTGGAGCTAGCTGTCCATAGGAGAGTTGATGCTAACCTAATGAATAATACTCTTTGTGAAATCCCAGGTAAATTTTGCTTAAGCCTACCCTTGGGGGCACAGTTGTTGAGCCTCTTTCTGCCCATGGGGGAATTGGGAGCTGCTTTTGTGACCCAAAATACCACCCTACTTTAACTTAAAGGTCTTACTGCTAGAAACTAAGCCTTAGGGGAGCCATCTCAACCATTTAGACTGAGATAAAACTGCACAGAAGCTGGAGAGACACAGAACAGCCCATGGTTAGGGGGAAATCAGTGCTGGGACTGGGGAAAAGGAAGGGGGACCCCCAGAAAGCCACTATGGAACCCTGCATGGGCCAGATTTGGCCCTTGGCTCTGAAGGTCTACACTTCTGCCATCAGGACTGGATTCCTGAATCATGCTTTCCTGCTGCCTGAATAGCCTGGCTCATAGGAGCGGGGAAGGTCTTGATGCCAAAACAAAACCTCTGCCTGATCCAGAAATCTGAGAGACTGTCAAGCTCACATATTTCTACCTGTGCTGTCCTAACTCAGTTCAACCCCACCCTTTGCCCCCTCTCTCTGGCCAGGCCATTCACCATGCTAGGGAACGGGTATGATGTTCACATTCTCAAGAACAGATAATTATTGCTATGCACATACAAACTTTGGTGTTGACATCAAAGGCAAGTCTGAAAGGACCCATCACTAAGTAGTGATCAGCTGTCTTGCCTCCCTTCCCACAGTCAGAGAGCGTATTCACGTGAAGGACAGCCGATCCATGGATGCAATTCCACGCAGCCAAACTGGTTCGGGTTAGCAGTGATTAGCATGCAGAAGCGCTGTCCTTTTGTAGTGCAAAACAGAAGATGGATGGGGGGAAAATAGTTTCTCTAAGGCATCTGGCATAATAACTAGGATGTCTTTCTTTCATTCCAAACTATACATTTCAACAAACTTCTTTACAGTAAGCTGTAACAAATTTTGAAAACCCTAATGAGAGACTACAGTTTAAGACACTAACAGCAAAAAACGAAACAAACAAGCAAACAAACAAAAGCACTTCACTCTGTTAAGGAAAATTAGCATGTAATATTTGTCATCTCGAGTCACTTTAAGAATAGAAGCACTAAAAAGAAAAAAAATCAATTCTCTACTGTTGAAAGTGCGTCTCCTATTTTTAGGGAGGAATTGGGGGGAGGAAGATGGGAGGAAAAAAAAGATTGGTTTTCCCTGAGATAAATTAGTATTGCTAAACTGGGCATTAAAATAGACAGATGCTCTTTCTGCAGTTCCAGGTCCTGAAAAAAGAGATATTACAAAAACGACAGGCCGATGGATAGGAATAAGGGCTGCCTAAAGGGCTTGTTCCTGCACTCTCAAATTCTTTAAATCTCAGTCGTTGCGGCCAAGTAAATTTTCCCTCCTTGTATTCATTGCTGGGTGTTTTCTGTATTGTCAAGTGAAGTTGGATATGTGGATGGTGCTTTACTCGATCAGTAAAGAAATGCACGTGTGCCCGCAACACGGTGTGTGAAGACCACGGTGAGTGTTGGGAACTACTGGAAGGCGGCCTCGCTAAATCGGCCTGGGCAAGAGGAGTCTGCGCTGGCCAGTGCACCGTTTGTGCCCAGTGGGAGAGAGAGGGAAACTTTGCACGTGCCAGGCGCAGTGAAGCTGCAGCTCTGCGCGTGTGAACGCGAGCGCCTGGCTCGCGTGCGCACAGGATCAAGCCGCGCGTGTGCGCAGACGTGGGCGCCGCTGCTGACACGCGCGCGAGCAGGCGCGGGGGTTTCCTCGGCGCGCCGCTGTGCCAAACCCAGGCGCGCCCGCGGATCGGCCTTGCGCTCCCGCTGCGAGAGGAGATGCTCCTTAAGGGGGCGCGGGTGGAGGTGCGGGGGGAGGGAGCAGATTTCCGTGGGGTGCGAGAGGGACCCTGCCGCGCGTTAACCCTTTCCTCGCCCCTTCAAGAGGACACGGAGCTGGGCGACGCGTCGGGGGTGGAGGCGCCGCTCGATCTGTCCGATGCGGCCTCGGCGCTTTCCTTGGCCGAGCCGCTGCGGGGGGCGGCGGCGGCGGGGGGGGCCAGGCCCTCTTTCTCCCGCTTCTTCTGCTTCATCCTCCGGTTCTGGAACCAGATCTTCACCTGGGTCTCGTTGAGCTCCAGGGTGGCCGCGATCTCCACTCGCCGCGCTCGGGTGAGGTACTTGCTGAAGTGGAACTCCTTCTCCAGCTCCGTCAGCTGCTTGGTGCTGAAGTTGGTCCGGATGTTGCTGGGGTGGACAGCCAGGCCGTAGTCGGACACTTTCGCTGCTCGGGCGAGCACAGACGCGCACCCGCCCGGGGAAAAACGAGGCAACGGAGCCGCACGTTAGAAGGCTGTCACAGTTCCCTGCTCAAAGACGAAGCGGCCTCCCCCCACCCCACCCCACCCCACCCCACCCAGGCTGTGGAAGCCCTTCGTGATCGCGTGCAAACCACTTGGGCTGCCTGGGCAGCAAGGCGGTATAGAAATGCATTCAGTCGTCGCCATCATCTCAAATAAATGCAAAGACCAGAGCAAGTCTGTGACTGCCAGTAGTCAGGGTCAGGCTTTCCGCCGAGGTCCAAAGGCACCCAGCTCCAGCCTTCTTCAACTTGGCGCCTTCCAGGTGTGTTCAGCTGGACCATGATCATGGGAGCTGCAGAAAGCATCATGTTGGAGAAGGCTGTTCGACATACTTCTGGCACTAAGGCAGAGCTCAGGTCCACTCCTGTTGTGGGGAATCCAGCTTGCTGGGAAGTTCACCCCCTGCAACTAGGATCTCCTCTCCTTAAACCTGAATGCTTGAGGCTCTCATAGTTTGCATTCCTTTTCTCCCCCTGCTTTTAAATTGTCTGTTTCTTTCTGTGTTTGTTTAACCTGTGCGATGTGGAGGTGACACGGTTGGGCTGGGCCTTGGGAGATCCAGGTTCTAGATCCCAAGCAGTCATGAAGCATATTGGTGACTTTGGCCCAGTTGTTACCTCTCAGCCTAACCAACCCCACCGGATTGTTGTGCAATTAAAATGCAGACAAGGAACTTCCTTGGGTTCCATTGTAAAGGAAAGAAAGCCAGGCCACAAGTGTATACTATTAAAATAAACCACTCCTGTTTGTTTGGGTTTTTTGTTCCCATATTTATACACAGCCTTTCCTCCACAACAGCTTCCAAGTCGGTTCACAATATAAGTAAATACATGTTATGACTGTTAATCACTACAAGGGCATTTGCTGATTCAGCAGTATACAAATCAAATAAATAAACCCATCAAAATTCATGATTATTTTTCCTGCTGGTATTTAGTAGTTTTTGTACTGCACATTTCATGTTTGTGCATAGTCTTGTTGCAGACAGGCCTCTCATCTGTTTATTTATAATAACTAAATAAGCAAGTTCATGTGGTCTAGAAACAAGACTTGGGTAACTTTTGTTAACATTTGCTTGTGCTCTGTCACCTCCTAATAAGAAGTCCTTTCTTCTCTAGAAACACTTCAGACTATCTAGAAGAAGGCATCTTCGGGGAAAAACCTCCCTCCACCTTGTGTGTGTGTGTGTGTGTGCGTGCGTGTGCACACACACACACATGCATCCACGCATGCACTTTGTCCTAATTCCTAGACTGAGAAGAATCTCTCTAGTTCATGATGAAAGAAGTTTACTTTGCACCTGCTCAGGGACACTTCCTATCAACATCATTATTAATGTTCTAAAGAGTAGGCTAGGCATGAAAAATAGATGATGGGCCTGAACCTGCTCATTTGTGAAGTCCTACCCCCACCATTTACCCACCCCTCTCTCCACCACCTCCATTCTTGGCTTGCATCTCTGTAAACAGGGCAAGTTTTCTCCTTACTTTCATTCCTAGTTCCTTAATGTCAGGGCATGGTTCTGTCCCTAAACCTAATCTCAAATTCCTCTCCTTTCTTCCTGATAGAAATACCCTGGGATTTGTTACTGTCACTGCTGTTTTGTGAAGACTTTAAAAAACTGAGAAATTCTGAAACAGGTGAGAAACATTTTGTACAACTTTTTGCAAAGGTGTCTTGTGTTAAGTCCCATTCAGTTCAAATGGGAGCTGTGGAACAAGCCTGCAGGAGGACTTCATGTGAGTCATAGGCATGGACCCAAATTTGGAAGCGGCACAGAAAAGCTAGTGGTCCATGACTGCTTCTCTGACTTGAGGGAATCGCAAATTCTCCTGTAAGTCATCCTGTGTCTTGTTCACTAGATTGATGTGACAATGAGCCACTTTAGCAGACATTTCTTTTTTTTCTCTGAAAAGCGGGGTCAACATACCATAGAATAAATAAAACTGCCCTAGAAGAGCATGGACATTTTTGAGGCCATCGAAGAGGGCGATTCCTCCTGGTTTCAAGGCTCAGCTGCTAGTCCCACAGGCAGGAAGCATCCCCTGGCACATCTCACCTTCATCTCCCTTCCTGCAGTTTGAACCCATTGACTCCAATCTTAGCCTTAGGGCATAAGATGGTGGCCTTGCCTCTCTCCACTGGCATCTTTCAAGACAGATCTTTTCCTGCCCTCTGCACACAACCTCTGTTTCCTCCGCTCCCTTGCTGTAGCCCAACCTCTTATAGTTTGGCTTCTAGATGGGATGGGGACGGGAGATGATGATTTATTATTACTATTATTACATTAAAATATCTCCAACCTTTCTCCCTCTCTTGCAAAGAACCCAGTATGGCTTACACAGTCCACCTCCTCTCCATTTTAACCCTACAACAACCCAGTGAGGTAGATTAGGCTGAGAGTCAGTGCCTGGCCCAGAGTCCCCCAGTGAGCTTCGTGGAGGCTAGAGCCCGGTTCTCTCTGATCCTGATCCAGCATTCTACCCACTGCATCACAATTATCCCCTTGATCACATCCTGCCTGTCTCTAGCAGCTGGAACAAAGCTCCTAGGATGCTTTGGAGAGGGCATGATAGAGCCAATTTTGATCCAGGGGAGGAAAATCCTGCCACCAGCTTAACCTCGGCTCCCCTCCTCTTACCCTCTTGAAAAGGATCCTGGCAAAGAAACCATGCCTGCCTGCACGTGGGAATTACCTGTCTTGGGAGGGTTCCTTTTCACTTTCATCCAGTCAAAGGTTTGGGTGGCGGTGGCAGCAGCCATGGGACATGGCTGGGAGGATGAGCAAGCCCTCAGGTCTTTGTTCTCGTGTGAGGGCGGCGACAGGTTGCCAAAGGCCCCTTGCAAGTAGCCACTCTGTTCAGGGCCATAGAGGTGTTGTGGCTGAAACTGGCCCGTGGTGCTGCAGAAACCGTCTGGTAAACTTCCCAGGCTGGAAGAAGGAGATGAAGCAGCAGCAACTGCCACGCTGGCAGGGTAGGCCGAGGACTGGAAATAGGCTCCATCCGTCTCCTGGGGGTTGAGGTAGAACTGCTGGGTGACGAAGCTTGGGCTGCAGCTGGGGGCCATGTATCCGCCACCTCCTCCTGGCTGAGATGACCCTGTGAAGGAGATGCCAAGGCCAGCAGGGGTGGGAGGAAGAGGAGGAGGAAGGGGAGGAGGGGGAGGGGGAGGAGGGGGGTAGCTGGGGTTCTGCTGATGGTGGTGGGCATTGGGCCCAGCAGCGGCGCCCACCCCGGGTGCCCCGAAGTGTCCCTCTGAGTGATAGCTGTCACAGGAAGGAATGCTGGTGCCTGAACAAGCTGGGAAGGAAGTGGTCCCTTGGTCGAGATGCTGCTGGTACTCCTTGGGTGCGTAGGCGCTGGGCCCACGGTTACAAATTGCATAGTCTAAGAAGAAGTTCATTCTAGGTATTGTTGCTTGGCCAATGATGGAAGAGGGTCGCCCTGTTTTATGGGGATTCCTCCTGCCCTACAACCTTTAGATAGTATGTCAAAGTTATCCAGGGGGGAAAAAAGAGAAAGGGAGAGAGGGAGAGGGGGACAGGGACAGAGAGAGAGAGAGAGAGAGAGAGCCACCCTTCCCATCTATGGATTTCTAGCCTTGGAGCCCCCATACCCCCACCCCTCCTTCCAAGAGCCTTCAGAATGGGGGTGGGGGTGGGGTGGAAAGTGGAGGTGGGGTGGAAGGGGGTCTGGATCACGTGGTTTGCCTTCAAACCCAATGAGCAAATGCCTCCTGAAGTTTGTCAGATATCTACCATCATCCATCAAGCCTTTGACATTTGCATGACAAAGGAACTTCAATCAAACTTTTCCCCATCGATCTGATTAACAACACGGATACGTCAAAAGGTTTTCCCCCTCAAAGACTTCGGAAGAAAAAGAAGAAGAAAAAGGAAGTGATAGAAAGGGGTTGGGAAAAGGAAGGGGGAGGAAGAGAAGTAGGGGGGGAGTTAGGACTATTCAAGGTCCCTTCTATGTGTTAAAAAGACTCCCCCCGTTCCAATTCATAAGACTGTGGCAAAGTCACTAGAACTTTTCCTCCCTAAGTGGAATAAAGGAGAACGTTAGCCCTGTTCTGACTACAGGAGGTTCACATAACACGTTTACATGGGGGGAATGGGGCAGAAAGTGAGAGGTAGGGGAGACTTTTTTAAATGAAAAAATAGTTTTTTCCTCATTAAAAAAAATTAATCACCGAAAAGATGCTTAAATGTTTATGGAGTTTGCTTAAAGTGCTTCTTGCCTTTCCGTAAAAAAAAAAAAAAATGAATAAAAAACATCCAAATAGCTTTGCTTTGCGCATCGCCTTTGTGTCTGGAAGCCCGGTGCTTAAGAGCAATTTAATTCAATCAACATTCTAATGAGTTGTGAAATAAAGTTAGAAGCACAATTGTCTTTTCTGAGGACGGGGGGAAGCGTAAATGAAATTGAAATTCGATCTACCCTATCCATCTATTCGTTATTTATTTTATCTGACTATCCATCCATTTCCACCCCAGCTTTCTCATCCGTTCTTTGCCTTTACTTATTTCCTTCAAAAAACAAAACCCAGAACCTCCCCCGCCTCCCAGATCTGACTATGGTGCCACCTTGGCTTGGAAGTCCCAGGACTTGGATGGGCGTGTTGCGAGCGGCCGGATGCGGAGATTGCTGCAAATCATTCCCAAAACTGGAATACAGGCAAGCCAACGACTTCCTAAGCCATCCTTTGGCAACACCGCGGTGCAACAGAGCAGCCCAACCTGTGGAAGGGAGGCTGTTTCTGGAAGGCGCCCGAATGATTTAGACTGCAAAGGGCTAAAATATGCTTCGGTTCGTGCAGGCCGAGCGTGGCGGGCGTGGGGGGGGGGATGGGCGGGTTTCCTGACGTTTAGTTTGGAGGGCCGTGCGCGCAAGCGCGCCACATTCTTCTTTTGCCTTCCGCGCAAATGTTCCTCAGGGCCCAGCAACTGGCCGAACTCAAAAGCCATTTCTTTCTCTGTCTCCGGCTCAGTCTGGCTCTGTGTAAGTGAACTTTTGGCCTGCTTCAGGCCCGCTGGTGCTCTCCTCGTGGGCTGAACGACCAGTAAATATCCTGACAAGTAACAAATGACCGTGGGCGTCCGATTGGAAGTTACTCTTGTCTTCCGTGTGCTAACAAGTAAATAGATGTTGCCTGCCCGGCTCCCCATTATATTGGGCATGAAGCGGTTTAGTCTCTCTTCGCCTTTGTCAAGACTCCTAGAGGAGGCGATCCCGCGGCAAAGGGAAAGTCCGTAATCATCCATTTATGGACTGTCCAAGTGGCCCCTGAATGACGCCCCAAGCAGAACCTCTGCACGGGCGAGGGGGCGGGGGGGGGGAGGGCGGCTGAAGGCCGACGGGGTCCGGGGAAAGAGGCACGAAGTTGTGGCACTTATAATTGCAGGGAGGGTGTGTTGAAAGGGGAGTGGGATGGCCGAAGCAGAGTGCCCCCCCCCCCCGCTACTTCTTGTTGGCGATTCGGAAGTCACCAGCCTCGGCGTAAGCTTTGCTGCCTTGATGGCACTGGAAGGGTTTCACGAGCACTAGCGGGACGGAACGGGAAAGATTGTGTGTGAGAGAGAGGTAAAGGATTTGCAGCGGATAGAAAGGGGGACTTTCACAGCGAGAGAAGAGCAGAGCGCGCAAAGCAGAAGCCAGGGGAGAGAGGAGAGGAGAGGAGAGGAGAGGAGAGGAGAGGAGAGGAGAGGAGAGGAGAGGCGTGGGGAGGGATTCAGAGGAAAGAAGGAAAAGTTGTGTCATCTTTGCATTGCTTGGAAACGTATGTCATCCAAATGTATGGTCCCTGCACACCTTGCCCAACTGCACCTTTCGTTGTCCTGCCGCGGTTTCACCCCCCGGTGGCTGGGACGGCGAGACGCACGGTGGGAAAGCCGCGCTCCCTGCCTGCGCTGCCCAGGCGTCCCGGAAGGCGCTCCTCGCGGGCGGACGCCTGGCAAGGGCTCGCCACACCCGAAGCCCCCCTGGGCCAAGCGGCCCTTTGATGCAGCGGTGGCCGCTCTCGCCGCAAGCTTGTCCGTGCCTTCGGGAGCCTGCGAGCCTAACCCGGGAGCTGGCGCGCCTTCCTGCCCCGAGGCCGGGCCTGGGCCGGAGCGTCGTGAGAAATGCTCGGGCTCCGTGTTCTCACGCGGTTTTGCTTTCTCTGCCAAGGGAATCGCTGTGACGGTTCTGTGACAGACGGAGAGATTGTATTTATTTAATCAATTTGTATGCCACTTACGTTTTAAAAATCCCTTGGCAGTTAATAACGCCTTTTAAACCATTTTTTTTTCTATTTTGGTTTGTTTTTCGCGCGCACTCTGCCTCTTTTAAGAAATCAAAAGTCGTCTCTCGATGGCCACCCTTAGCACTCCGCGTGCCTTCCTCTCCGAACTTGTCTTGTTAAACGCTGGATTAATTGGCTTTTTAAGAAGGGACATTAAGGTGTGGCCACAGAAGGACCTAATAAATAATTATTTTGACTTAGAGTCCAAATAAAATAATATTGGAAAACCAAACCAATCCCAAAAAATCCCAAACCCTGAGACCATTTATCATGCCCCATTCAGAATTCGAAGAGGTGGTGGAGAGGGAAGGGCCTGAAAGAGTTATGTACTTGGTCTTCAGAAATATGTCCATGGGGTTATTTATTTCTTCTTTATTTATTTCTTCAGAAGGCTAGTGCTTTAAGGGGGAAAATACTTGAGCTTGGGTCTGAACATTCAGAGAAAGGACTGAGAGAAGGATAGGGAGGAGGAGGAGAGGAAATGGAAACGAAAAAGAAATCAAGGAAAAGGGAACTGCAGAAGTAGAATGAAAATACATGGACACATGCAAGCCATGCTTTAAATATGCTTCGGGGCGTGGCTGATGCGCTGAAATATATCTGGTGTGGTTTCCCGTTTGTCACAGCAGCAACATGCCTTGATCTGCCCTCAAAAAGCCCTTTGCCCCGCTTGCCTCTTCTCCAGCTCTCTGCCAGGGTGCATCACATCCCCTCACACACTGAAAGGTTTCGATTTGTTGTCTCACTTTGGTTTTTGTGTCCCAGCTAGACACATTAAACTACAACCCATCATCCACAGGCCAGTTCCCTCCAGTGTTTCAGCCTGGTTTATTCCTAGGACACAACAGGCTGTAATCTATGGAAAATGCATACCACAATAAACTAGTTAATTTAAAACCAGATTAAAATTGGCTAGATTTATAACTAAGCATGGGGGCGGGGGCGGGATAGAGAGCTGTTTTGTTTTGTTTTGTTTTGTTTTTAAACTGAATTAGTTCTGAGAAAGGGCATCACAGAACTCTAATCACGTAAAACCCACAATGTCTTTCCAGAAAGCCCTTCCTTCTACATGCGACTGGACCCCCACAGGAAGAGCAGGATTCTGGATCTTCTTCTTTGTATTCCCTTTGGAACTCAGTGGCCACTCACCATCTGCTTCCAATGGTGATGACTTACAGGAGGATATATTAAATTTCTCTCCCCGCCACCCCCCCCCCCCACACACACACACAACACACACCCCACTGCCTATCCCCTTGTGCCTTGCAAAAGATCTTGCATCTCCACAAGCAGGGATAAGTTCCTGCACATGTGCATGCATGAAGGAGAGAGAAATGGTTGCTGCTCCAGGAAAGATTATAAACAAGTAAGTTGTTCTCCGAGGGCAGAGATGTTGTAGGCCAGAGTGAAATTAATACGCCCATTCTGCAGAAACATTCATAATGGGCAGTAGCATTTCAAAAAGGAAAATGGGCATTATTGTTCAGGATACAGAAGACAGGGATGTGATTTAAATTCACTGTAGGGGCAGGAGGGAAAATTTTTCCAAATCTCCCCACATTTTCAGATCTGGCTTTCAAGAAACAGTTTTTAAAAAGAAATTGAAAGTGGTGTTGAAGCTAATTTTAAGGTCATAGTGGTAAATGTCAATGTACCACTTTGATAGTATGTTACCTTCCCTTCAAACATAAGTGTGTTCATAACTGAGCATAGTGTAAAATCAAATTAAGGCTGTAGTCCTATGCATACTTCCCAGCAAATTTAACAGTGCAGTCTACTCAGAAGTGAGTCCCATTCAGTTCAATGGGACTTCCTCAAAGGTATAGAGCTACAGCTTTAATGCTAAAACAAATGAAGTGTTAGGAAAAGTATGCTAGTTTATAGGAATAGCTCATGGAATAACCTGCATGGCAAGATTGTTAGTTGGCTTTTTAGTTGGCTTCCATCACAGAAGAGAATTTCCTTCCCATCTTTATTGCTTATATTATGCTCCCCCAACCTGGTGTTCTCCAAACATTTTGGGCTGCAGTGCCCAGAGTCCCTGACCATCAGTTATGCTGGCTTGGGCTGATGGGAGTTTTAGTCCAAAAAATGTGTAGGGCACATGACTGAAG